GTGGTGTGGTGTTGGGGGCGGGGTGGCGGCGTATATAAAGGGGGTGGGGCAGCGACTTGGAGGAGGGGGTAAGGCGCGGCGGAGGCGGAGTCCAACTCGGACTCCGGTCCGAGTGGCGGCGGCGGCGGCCTGGCGCGGCTGGGCCTTAGGCCCAGTCGGCGCGGGAACCCTTTTTTTTAAACTTCGCCGACCGAAATAAAATCCTAGAAAAAAACCTAAAAATGTCAAAACAAATTTTCACCGTCTAAATAAAATATTTAGGACGAGTTGAACATTTTCTTGGCCCTAAAATGAAATTTCGAAAACATGCAATTTTTATAATGCAAATAAAATCCGAATAAAACCAAATAAAATCCAATAAATGATTTTAATATTTTTCCTCCGATATTTCAATTATTTTGGAGAAGTCATATTATCTCCACTCATTTGATTTAATATGAAATATTTCTCGGAGAGAAAATTATTAAAATCAAAATCCTCGTTTCATTATTTGATAAAAATCAAATATGAAAACCGGAAAATCCTCAACTCTCTCCGTGGGTCCTTGAGTTGCTTAGGATTTCGAGGATTGCGGAACGAAAATACTATAAATCATGATATATATGGATGATCTATGTATAACATTTCAAATTAAAAATTTAGGATGTTACAAGGGGTATGCGTACTAAATTATGCAGAAAGTAATACACCTAACAAATACGGGGGGGATACATGGTGCAATACTGCAAGATACGTGGGGCACAACCGTGTTAACTTTGTTGTCCGGCAGAAATGCTTTCTGAACTGCTCCTATCCAATGGTTAGGAAAACCCCAACAAAGGCCCTTTAAGTATTTTATTTTGGGCTACTTTGCACTAGACTTTGCTACTCTTCAATCTAAATTAATTGACGCAGCTCTAATACAACTCCCATCCAAATTAATTGATTCAGATCGGAGTGAGTAATAATAATTTTTGGCCTGCTTCTATGGAAGTAGAAAGGGAGTGTTATTAGGAATATCGGCACTCATGTCCTACGACTGTGGCGTCTAAGATACTCTTCCCTTCAAGCTTTGCTGGCGAGCCGTGGATCCATCTCTCATCTCCCCACTGCTCAGGAGAGCGAATCCTGATGCCTCGGCTTCGATTAGTAGTTTAGGCTAGTTTTTTTTTCTTTCTGAGTAGTGTTTCGGCAGATGATGGCTCTTTATTTTCGAGTTGGTCTTTTATGCTTCGATCCTCCTCAAGTTCGTCTATCGGGACATAATTGATGGAGCTTCGGCGTAGATTCCCTCGGTCTCCTTGGGATGACAAGGTTAGAGTTTCTCGCCATGTGTGCTAGCCAACGAGAGTAGGTGTCAGACACTTCAGATCGGTTCAAATGGTTCAATGGCGACGACTGTGGCTCTGGGACGTTGGTCCTTAGTAGCATGTGCACGAAATTTTTTTAGCTATCATCGACATGGTCAAATTGGCTCCAATAGGGGAGCAACGACAGTGGCACGTCAGCGACTCATTCTGACGGCGACAATGGCCATTTGGCGGTGATGCAATTTTTATTATGTTTGGATTGCTCTATATTTCTTACCAACCTTTAAAACAGATCTCTGTCCATAGAAAAACATTTTACTTATTTTGAGGGAAATTACCAACATTTCATTTTAGATCTATTTTCATTCGACTTGATCGTCAAAAAGAAAAAAAAAGACACCATACGATCTGCTTAAAACGTGGGACCCACGAGGCGTGGGTGAGAGAAGTCGTGGCCGCGTGGGCTAAGCAAACGCAAATCCACGCGGCGGACTTGACTTGCGCTCGAATCCGTCGTTAGTTGCATTCTCTTTCTCCTCTCCTGGCCCATAGATAGAGATACGACGCTGCTTCCTTCCGCGTCCAGAAACCCTCGCCCACCCACCAGCACCGGCCACCGCCTCCTCCCCCAAAATCGAAACCCCTACCCCCATCCCCAAGCAGATCGGCCGAGAGCCATGGAGGCGCAGATGAGCAAGTTCTTCGAGTCGGTGGGCTCCTTCTTCTCCGGCGGCGACAACATCCCCTGGTGCGACCGCGACATCATCGCCGTAAGTGCCCCCCACCTCTCTCCCCTTAGCCCCTCGCTTTACTTGATGAATCTTTCGCTGCTGTGGTGTCCTGCGCAGTAGATGTGGCCTAATTGATTCTAGGATGCGCGCATCATACTATGCGAAGCACGAAAATACATGTAGAAAAGGAGAGTGGGTCGTTATTGCAAAGCTTCGTGATGCTTGATGCTGCCCTGGTGGTGGGAGACCGGCCGTGGTTGTTGAATCGGTGGTGCCTTACCATGTTTGTTCAGTTAGTTGATGTCATTATTTACCGGTAGTAGCATGGATTTACCAAGTTGGGATGTTGGATACTCTGATTCCCATTTTGTCTCTTGTAGTACCGAATGCTATGTGTTTTTACTAAAGTCATCAGATAGCTAACTAACTATGAAATGTCCACTCGGAACTTGGCCACGTTCATTGGGTTACTGTTATCTGTTTATGTAGTGTTCACAAGCACGAACTGTTAAGTCATCTATTCTTGGCTGTTGCTTTTGTTCATGTATATATGTGCCTTCTGTTCTTTTGCATTGTTCACAGACTATCCTGTTATGTTAATTATGTTAGAAGAGCAACTAGAACTTATAGTTCTGATTCCGATGATTATTCATGGTTTATATGTTTGGACCGTTGGTGGTGGGAGATTAGTTTTGTCTGTTTGAACCGTTGGTGCTTTGGCATGACATGTATGCTCAGTCAGTTGATGTGATTTTGTAGTGACAATAGCATGAATTTACCAAATTGCCCATTTGGTCTCGTGTACTACTCCCTCCGTTCCAAAATAGATGACCCAACTTTGTACTAAAGTTAATACAAAGTTGAGTCGTCTATTTTGGAATGGAGGGAGTACATGTCTTTTACTAAATAGATGGAAGATGGTTAACTCAGCTCTGAAATGTCTACTCGGAATTTATGCACTGTTCACAAACACAAACTGTCTAAGTCATACATTCTTTTTTCTTGGCTGTTGCTATTGTTAAATACTCGTATATGCTTTCTGTTCCCCTTCAATCTTCACGAATTATTTTGTTTTGTTTAATATCTTCGATGAGCAAGCAGAGCTTATATTCATGGTTATATGCACCTAGGGATGTGAAAGAGAGGTTGCTGAGGCTGCAACCGAGGAACAGAAAAATGATAGCATCATGAGGCTATCTTGGGCTCTCGTCCATTCCAAGCAGACTGATGATGTGAACCGTGGAATTGGCATGATTGAAGGTCAGATAACTTTTTTTATTTGCATGGAAGAAAATTTACTCCTTGCAACCTATTATCTTACTTTGCTATCTATTCTTCTCAACTCTGTTTTGATCAAATTGTTTGTTCTACTTGCACAGCTTCTCTTGATAAAACCACCAGCCCACTGCAGACTAGAGAAAAGTTGTATTTGCTGGCTGTTGGGCACTACAGAAATGGTAACTATGTAAGGAGCCGGCAACTTGCGGACCGTTGTTTGGAGGTATTCTTGCACTACCTTCTGGTTGCCTTATATAATGCATACTTTCTTGGTGTGTGGTACTGTTTCTGCTGGTAAAAGGGAAAGAAATATTTCACTGGTTTTGAGCTTAACTGCAAGCCAAATATTTGATATGTCATACATGCAGTTGATGCAAGTAGCTCTGCATTGTGAACTTGTGGTAACTCATCATCTTATTTGCTTGTGTAACAGCCAACTGGTGCTATTTCTATGCTGGTTTGCTGGGTGACACATGTGGAATTTATTTGCATATTGCTTGCGTAACTACTTACTAGTACTGTCTCTGTGCTGGACGACATAGTGATAAACCAAATATTTGATTCCACTAAGGTTTGTGCAACTAAAGTAAAGGTTCTTGATATTTGTGGTTCCCTCAGTTTGTTGATTTCTTCATCATCAGGCTTGGAAATAATTTTCCTACATTTGCACCATCCAAGACATTGTCCCTTAAATCACCCTCCCTCTCATTAATCTGGCAGCGTCATGATATACAATCGATTTTTCTGCGGTAAGACTGATAGACAATTGATATGTGGCTATGCAGATAACAGTATTTTGTAATTGTTATGCAAACAGCAAATCTGTTTAACTGCTTAACTGAATTCATTCGACTGTTGTGTCACGTGTTTTATATTTCTATTGATTCCACACCTATTCTTGTCGATTAATTCTGGCTAAGCAGCTCAAGATCGTGGCTATGCTTGTTGCTGATTCCTTGTGTGCTACTCCATTTCAAGATTTGGCTATGCTTAAGCCTAATTCCGAAGTAGCATTTTGTGCCGGACATGTTAGTTAGACATACTTATCTATGTGACCTATACACTTTATACGTGGGATACAATTAAAATTCAGAGAAAAATATGCAAAACAAAGTTTATGGGGTAATATAAGTGCGTATGTTTTTCAACTGTTTAAGGGGTAATCTGGGACCATCATCTTTATATTCCATACTAGTTGAATATAAGTGCATATGTTTTTCAACCGTTTAAGGATATTGCCGCCTTTATAAATTCCCTCTTTTAATTGATCTTGTCCCCTTTTTTGTAGATTCAACCAGATTGGAGGCAGGCATCATCTCTGAAGAAGGCAATAGAGGATAAAATTGCTAAAGGTAAGATAAGTTTAGATAAGTTTAATCGACCATACTTTTCTGCGATTCACAGTAGAAAACTATGTGATAATTTTATCTGTTGAGCTAGGAGTAATTTATGCTGAGTTTTCAAAATCAAGCAACTGTAAAAATAGATACTGATAACCCTGTTCATAAATTACTTGATTTTGAAAAACGTGTGCACTTATTGCTTGATAACCCTGTTCTGTGCAGATGGTGTGATTGGCATAGGAATCGCCACAACTGCAGTAGGACTTATCGTCGGTGGGATCGCAGCTGCTCTTGCAAGGAAGAAGTGAGACTGCACCCGCCTGTTGATGAAATAGGATGTGTGTTTGGTTCTATCGTTCTACCGTTTGTTCTGTGTTACTTGAGTCGAATCGCCGCAACTATGTGCATAAAATGAGTTTATGATACCATGCCACCGTGTAATCTTTCGGATAAATCAAATCGTGATGGAAGTAGTACCATTGTCTCAAACCAGTGCTGAATACACCAATAAATGAACTATTAGGGGTCTTATTTCACAACACCAACACTTCACTCTCTAGATTGTACACACGACAATGCCACTCTGTTCGATCGAACGGTCTAAGTACCATGCCATTGAACATCATCCTCTGAACGGTCTAAGTACCAAACAATATGGCATTGAACATCATCCTCTGAGCTTGGATGATCCTGCCAATGGCTACTCGGCCCCGATGAGGGTGAGCAGGATGCCCTGGTAGTACCCGGAGGTGTCTCCGACGACATCCTTGGTCACCGTCGTCTTGTACCTCACCTTGTATTCCTCCTTCACTTTCTTCAAGTCGACCTCGGCGCGCGAGACAATCGCTCTGGTCAGGGATTCCTCGTCGGTGCCGAGCCCGATGATCGAGCTCCGGATCACCTGGAAAAGGCAGAGCCATGAAGAGCATCAGAACTGAAGCAGCCTGGAAAAGGTTGAGCTTTTGAGTATTACCTCTGCGAAGTGCTTCTCCGGCGATGTCAGGCACCAGACCGCAGTTTTCAGCATCGCCGACAGCTTGTCGTTGCGATTGCCCTCGAGAACCTGTGGCGCATCAAAATAGATATAGTCCATTTTGTGTGCTCAGGTTTTTTTAACCGTAGAAAAATGATGATGAAGTAGACCTCGTCGATGGCCTTGCCGTGCTCTCGCTTGTAGTGCTGGAACGTCGCCTTGAGCTGCGGCTTGCTCCTGGAGCTGACGATGCGGACCACGTCCCCGTGCAGCGGCTGCTTCTTGGCCGCCACCGCGCCGTGCAGCTCGGCCGCCTCGGCCCTCGCCAGCTCGCCGTCGACGTGCTCGCCGCCGTGGCGGTACGAGCTCACCAGGCGCACCAAGAACTGCACACGCACACGCACACGAGCGCTCAGTTCAACTGACCGGCAACGGCAAGAGCAAGAAATGGACCCACGGCGGCGACGAAAGAAGGAGAATGCCAGGATCGGCACGGCCTTGCCTGCTTGAGGGGGTCCTTGTAGAGCGGGCAGGCGGCGACGTCCTCCTCGAGCGACGAGTCGTAGGCGGAGCAGTAGGCCTTCCTGACGGCGACGAGGTGGTCCGGCGACGACGCGCAGGCGACCTCGATGAGCACCCAGGCGTGCCGGTCGCCGCCCTTCTTCCTGAGGGCCTTGTAGGCCAGCTTGGCGTCCCGCGCCGCCGGGTCCATCGCCCACAGCGTCATCGCGCCCTGAGACCACCGGACCAGACCAACGCGCAGGCATGGAGATTAGATTTCGGACGGTGTCCGGCCGGGGACGAAGGAAGAAGCCTAGGAGCCCGCCGGCCATGGAGGAGGCGAAGGTGTATGTTACCTTGAAGTGGCTGGAGAGCTCGTCCTGGAGCGTGCGGAGGAGGGGCTTGTCGTAGAGGCCCTCGTAGGCGACGGCGATCTCCGCGCGCTGCGCCGCCGTCCGGTGGCCCAGGATCTCGATCAGCGCGTTCTCGTCCGTCCCCCACCCTGCCCATTTCTCACGATCTCAGCACAGGTTCTTCTTGCGGTAGAGCAAAAACAACAACATCAATCAATGGAGTAAACTTGATTGAATCTTCGTAAGTACTTACCTTGCACTGCTTTTCTGATGCTCTCTGCATCCTCGGTCGGGGAAGGGGCGGGGTCCGGGACCGAGATGGAGGCCATGGGGCTGAGCGTTCGCGCTCCTTCTTCTCCCTCCCTTCCCGTCCGTGCAGCCGAGGAGAAGTGGAGGAAGAGGAGATTGAGGGGAGGGATGTTATGGATGCACTCGAGGCAGCCGCACCAGCTACACATGGTAGCCACACAGACACCACAGCACACCACCAGGGTTGAAAGCTTCGCCGGCAATGGGCTTTTTGCCTAATTATTTCCTCGTGTGTTTCGCGTGTGCATCTTTTGATTGTGTTTTTCTTGGCTCATTTTAGGTTCTTAGTCATGAGTTTTAATGGTGCCACTGTTATCCAGCTTGTAATGTAATGGGGTAAGTAGCCTGGCTGATGTTGTGTACAGGTCATGCGAGGGGCATTTTGGGTATGTTCATTGCTCCTACTTAATCAGCATTGGAGAGGTATTTAGATTTGTTTGCTGGAAAAGGGTGAGTAATACTTAATGAATTGTTCCCTTTTCCGCCTTATAGCACACGTTGTAATAATTCTTAAGTTAAGGCTTGCCTCATCTATTTTCAGACTTGCTCATGCTGTACTGCAATCTAGATCTTATTCAGATCTTGGGGTGTTTTCAAACTTGTCCTCACCATCTTCTTACTGGAACCTGAGCGTTAAAGAAAATTAGTAGGAGTACCATTTACACACCATTTTTTTTACATGTTTCATACTTGTTCATACCATCTCTTCTACTCTCCTCTTCTTGGGAAATAAAAAAAAATCGCTTCAAAAACAG